TTGCCTCATTATATCTAGATACTTAATGAGATCGAAATTTGAATACAAATCTAGAATTGTAGAGAAATACAAAAGAAAATAAATGCATTTAGATAAATTGTGTAGTTGGAATAGTTACTTTGGAATAACTGAATATATTTAACGCCAAGTAATTCGATGTATTATAGAGAGATAGAACATTTTTAAAAATTCATTTGCCTGGAACTGAACACATCGTAGATTCTGTAAAACGTCTCGTTTTTCTTAAATTGTTGGTTTAACAATGGCTAATTTAGAAGAAATTTCAATGTATTCTTGCTACTGAATTGGTTGGGTCTAATATCAATCAAGACGGGCCGAAAATTCTTTGGGTTAGCCAGACATGAGCGGGGTTGGCTTTAAAAGTTCATGCTGAATTCTACAACGGTACGACTATTTCGTAACTTAATGATACTCCAGAAGGTCGAACTTTATTATCGACTTATAATTGTCATTCAACATTTATTAGATATATGGGTATCAAGATTTTTCTTGTGAACAGAACACAAATAGCATCGTTTCCTTGTATCAACTGAAAATCAATGTTTTACCAGATACGCGACCGACTCTATTCGGTATATAATTGTTCCGTATATGAAATGGTCATATCAAAGATGTAATTAGATCGACGGTGTGCCTTCTTTTGTGCTCAGGGTTGCTTAAGACTAACAGCAGCTCGGTGATCCAGCGACAACAGCAGTGTGCACGCACGCCCCTTTCTTAATATGATGTCAAAGTTATCGACAAACACAAACATAATCGGACCAGATGACACGAACAGGAATCTGCATTCATTGTTGCACCCCTTGTATTTCGAGTTCTGCCACTTCGCTGCTTTTCCTACCTGTCCCGCCGGTTTGGAAATGAACCGCCCCCCTTTCGGGAATGTGCGGCTCGGGAAAACAAGAAGTAAAGGAAAAATGTGTCGAGGAGTATTGCGACGCCCCGGGAGGGCGCCAAAGGCCGAAATAAAGTATAGACGCAACTAGTCGGAAAGTGCAACTCCTGAAGTTAGGTCGAGTCGGTGTCACCGCAATACTAGCGTAGGCAGCGAACGACTGCGAAACTTTTCGCTAGGGCCGAACCAAACAAAAGTCGGATGGCTGTTGATCATTACGACCAGAAAGAGCTGCGGGTTAAGAAGGAAACAATGAGATGCATTAAACCTTTACAGAGGACACAGGTGTAGTTCTCAACTCCATGCAGTCCGCCAGCGTGGTCCTATCTAGCAGTTCCATTGCTGTGTATTACTGCCAGTAATTATGCCATCAAAGCAAAATAACAATGAAAGTACCCTTTTTTGACCGTAGCCAGTAGGTAAGGCATGTAACCAGATGAAATCTCTAACATAATTGATAACATAGTCTGTGTCCTACCAAGATACTTTTACTGTTACTAACTATCTTAGCAACTTTCTAGGTTCTATAACAGTTAGGAACGTTGTGCGGAGTAGAATTTTTTTACAAAGCTATCTTACTTTACCGGCCTGTTTTATAGAAACGGAAACGGCTGAAGACATGGCAGAAATTAGGCTGTTTACGTCAATTACGCATTGACTTCAGACACGTTTGACCAATAAGAAATTTAGTGCGCTAATGCTTTTGACAATATATGAAGACCGCATTCGAAAACTTAAATATGAAGCCTTTGAGCTAAAAGTGAACAACTTAAGTAGTAACTTCCTGTTTCTTGGGAACTACTCAGAATTAAAGTTGTCTCATATACGTCAGATCTTTTCCGCAGAAAATGTCGCACGAGTGTCTATCTATCGACAGCCTGTTTACGGTCCTCTTTTGTATTCGGTGTTCACCTGACTGACATGTGCCGTAGTCTTCATGCACCTTTATGACGTGTTTCTTCCTAATGGGTTGGGTCGACATTCGTTCGTGTGTCACGACAACCCGAGCCAAACGTACGAACCTCCGACATTTTGTATTGCTGGGTCACGCCTAACATCAGCCCTTTATCCCGTTGAGTTTTTCCTTAGTTTGCTTCTTATAACCTCCGCTAAACGCCCTCATGATGCTACGGTGAAAATTCGCAATTTAAGTTTTACACTACGGCCTCTGTGTTATTAATAGCGCCCAAAAGCTTTTGATGAGGAGGAAATCACCGCAGTCTGACCTCTGAAGTTTCCTAGCGCCTCATAACAAGAGTGAATCGCGCTTTGATCCAAGCAAGTGGAGGAAATATTCTAGCAGCCGTCCTTTTTGTACACGACTTTTACCTTACAAAAGGCAACGGTGTTGGCTTAGAGCATACGGTTATAGGTGTAACGTATAATTAATAGTAGAACCGTCTCAACGAGACATATATTCGAGAGGTATGACATACGATTTCTGGCGATTGATATGGCTCCGAAAGGTATGCTTTAAACGTGCATCAACATTGCTAGTCTGCGGACAGCACGACGGATCAGCAGATCATAATTCCGCGACGTTCACCAACGTCTAGTGCTACGCAGGATACGGATTTTCGTTTTTTTGGGTAAGTGATTATGAGCCATTTTCCTTAATTGCGTTATTGGTAAGAGCAACACGAGACATGTTAGTCCAAAGGTAATATAGGGTCACTTAATTCATGTTGATGATGTCACTCGTATCTGCTATATGCCCAGATGAGCTACGACGCGCTTGGATACTGTAATCTAATTTTTGCCTGTGTTTCAATCAAATAACTAAATCCAATGTAACGTTGAGTCTCAGTTTTGTACTGTTTAAAAGCAAATGTTCTGGACTAAATGGAACGATGAAAGTACACTTATCAAGGGACAGTGTAGAAATAGGCATATATGCAGACTTATTAAGTATGCCTGATCTAGTATCTTTCTTCAAGCACCGAACAATAAAAAGGGAATTGAACCATTTCATTTATCTCGAGATCTTAGTGCATATATGTCTTTGCGCCTTATTAAACTTAATATTAGACTTGCAGAGAAACCATATGGATCCAACTTGTGTTTTCACACACAGAGGCTTACTGGGCATGAGGGTGCAAAGGGGTTTCTAAACTGAAACTCGATCAAAAACAAAATCTAGAAATGTCTGTCAGACATATAGTATAATATACGTTGAGAGTGGTCGCTTGTCTGTAGCTGCCGAATTCTCGAGTATTCAAAGATCAACATGCTAATTTACGAAGAACAAAGAGACCCCTTTTTTCATATTGTGGCCTTCATTATTCTGAACGAAAACCCGAAAAAGATCGCCATTGCGTTCTTACACACCGAAATATTGGAATTACCCCCGTGGATTTCGTAAACCTAGAAGACGCTGCCAGAGGGGTTCGTAAGTGCCTAGTTCACATCTGACCCATTGTAACACGATGCTTCCGCAAAAAATAAAACGTCAAGAAATTAAGTAAAAGTGCTAAGCTTTGTTCATAGCTGCTTCAACCATCTATTCTGTACAGACGACTACTATATGATGCCATACAATTTACTATACTTCGTTCAACGTCAGCTTAAGTCCAAGAATACATCAATTTTCGTCAATCTATCTTTCTTCACTTCAACACAATAGATTTTGATCATAAACTTTGATTGAATTTACCCCCATCCCTCGTTGGATCGATATATCAGCCTTTTTTCAATTTTAGTTCACCCGGAGCCTTCATGGGAAGAAACTTCAAAAATGAGCGCCGTCACAAGAAAATGTGAAACCCCTTACAACAGGTCTTTTTGGAATCAGGATGCGGAGTTACTTACGAATTCGAAACACGGCCATACCACGAGATTATCGTTTCAGCAAAACTCCAGCTAGTTTCAACAATACACCGGAACACGAATACCTAAAAACGAGGGTTTTTTCTCTTCAAGTCATGAAAGTTCACAGGGGGTTGCCTATACACATTTTGATTAGCACCGCGTTCAGTATAGGCAACCGCTTAAGCATTTGTTCAATCTGCTATTGTCAGGTCGAGCTTTAATCAAAGGATAGGTTTTATAATACTTATTTTTTTCAAAACGGATCGGTGTTCGGCACCGGATGCAGCCTCTAACGCGCATTCGGTTATTTCTTTTTTTTTTTTTGGAAAATTCATCCTCAAACATTGAATTGGTTTGGTCCTATAAATGCGAGAATACTATTAGTTGATATATCGACTTCGTTTTATAGTGATGATCATTGTCTTGCTTTATCGTCTTCTTAAGCTTACCTAATATGTTATAGGTGCCGGCCCTGTCGGTTTGAGATGGCTAACGTCGTGGTCAGCGTTAGATAATGCCTGTGGATTATCGTGGCCAAATTTTAAGTGTTCGTTGTTGATAGTTCACGATATAACAGTTACGAAACGAATTGTGTCTACGCGCACTTTAAGATTTAAATTATTACACTTGTTTCTAAATTTAGCAGACGACGATTTTTTACTACAGCGTCACAGGAATTATACCGAAATCTGCCCACGTGGACTGGTTCAAGGCCCGCTAGGTTCATGCATCGTTCCGACCCCGGCGTATTGGCTCAGAGTAAGGTTTTTACCTAGGTGCCCGATTTTCCCCAATTCGTCATCGTTAAGTAGTTCACTCCTCCTGTGCCAAACTAGAATGTTCTTAGACAGAGACTTAACTGGACCCTCAAATGTTCAAGAGTTCAATACGATTTATTCATATCGAAAGCAAAGCGAAATGATATCTAGATGATGAGTTGGTAAAAAAAATTAGAGCATAGAAGGAACGGAACTGGCACATCTGAGCATGCTTGATAGCATTATATCATGACATCTTAAGCGGTAGTACCGAACCTCCGAGCGACATTCTATAACTCAAGGAGACCGAGTTGCTTCTATACTGTGCCACTATATTCGAAGCCAAGTTCTGAAAGGGTGATAAAGTTTAGAAATAGAAACAGTTGTACACCAAACGACAAAGTAGAGTGACAACTCTACGCATCTACGCCTGGTACAATTTTAGTTTTTAGCAATTTTAAAAGCAAAAAGTCAAGCCCTTAGTAAAAAAAAAAAAAAAATGTTTAATTATGCGCCTTTTTAGTTATGTTGGATCAGCTAGCTTGCACACGTGTCTGCTTTCATTATTTCGAGATAAAGCTGCCAACAGTACGTTGAGACAGAAGTGATGGGTTCCCAATAGAGAAGGTCAAAAACAGACATGGTGATACGGATTCACTACATCGGCTGATCTATCCGTTGCCGGCTCGGCGTTCTTAGAGCGAAGAGCAAGATCGGGAATCACGCACAGGGTAGGCGCGTTTCTCGTTTCGTAGGCCGACCTGCGTAAATGAAACGGGCTTAGCTCAGCCTTGTTTTCTCGATAATGACTACAGGTTATCGTCTTAACATTACAATGATCTACACGCAGTGGATACCGTTTCAGAGGTCGAAACAACATAGGCAGATTGTTATACCGCGTACCATAGACTTTTATAGTAGCGACGTTGTATGCGTAACCCACTAAACTGGCCATTAGCTTGGTAGACACGCTTAAAAGACAATCGATAATACTTGCTGCTCGAAATGACCGAGAATGGAACAGAAGTGTGGAAGTGTCAGGAACAGTTGAGTGAGCCCGGTTTCTTCGTGATCGTGTCGGTCTCAAATACGCATGTTGTCTTCACACGCAAGATGAATAGAACGTATGCGTTGATCGCTCGCTAAAGTTTTGAAATTGATAGCGTACTTGCCAATCGAAACGAGCAATGCAGCTCCATTCAACGTTACAGATTGTACCACATTACTTTTACCAATTCCTTTTCAATGCGCATTTTCTGATTGTTCAATATCCACCGCGTTTCCTTTTCAACAAAAGGGGGCTGGGGTCGTTCTTAGTTATTGCCCTGCAGACCGTTGTCGTCGTTGTGATTCCCAATGTGTCTGCTACCACTATCGAACCGAAGCGCCGCATTGTCACGACGGTCCTTCCATTTTCCCTGCTGTTGCTGTGACGTGCAATTATTGTTGTGCCAACTTACCATTTCACCGATATTTCGGAACGGAGCTGCAAAGACTCAGCGCAGTGAGTCTTTCTGTAATAGGAAAAAAACGAACCAAACACATAGTTGTGAAAAGGGTTCGGAGTTGGGTCCATTAAGAGAGGCGGGCAGAGTCCGCAGGAGTTCGAATATGAGCACACTTTGCCTTTCGAGCTAGCGGCACTCCCCACGAGCCCCGTTGTTCGAAAGGACAGTGTTGCACGAGAACGCGGAGCTCCCGCAGTACAGGCGTACGCAGGAGTACTGCCAGCAGCAACTGACGAATGACAAGCGTACGCTGAGGGGCCTCGTTCATCGATGAACAGTGGCGGTCTGGTGTTGTGCCTATATGGAAGAGTGTTGCGCCCGACACACTGTTCGTGTGGCCATAGGCTTAATTTTACTGTTTACGTTGCAGCTGTAATAGTTCCCGAGATCGAGCGTTAGCTCTGTCACACACCTCTATAATTGCATCTCAAAGCAGAGAAAGAAAAGCGTACCTCGTTAGTTTTGTTGGTTAGTATCAATAACAACAAACCTACAATCTTTCAACTCGGGAGTCAACACTCGAATCGTGGCATGGTTCAGTTATTTGGTAAACCGAGCATTTTGCCAAATAGAACCGTAAAGCTATCTTTTTAGCCCTAGTAAAAATGCTTCATATCATGGATATCAATCTAAGAGTGTCGACTATACAGAACTAAGATTAAGTATCTGTACAATGTTCATTGAGACACTCTATTGTTTGAAGGAACTTCACTATCATATTCCTGTTCCGTAATACAAGCTTGCCTTCATAATGCTAAATAAAGTAAATAGTTGTAAGATAACAGATATTTTACTAACCCAGACGGCCGTTCACCAGATACCAGATTAACGAGGCAGGTTTTATATTCATGTAACCACTCGTAGATTGCCGGCTGAAATGAGATCTGTTTTTAGTTATCTCGTCCTAATACAAACATGACGAATTATTGCATTCTCCGACTTCTTATCCCTCAGCAAACCTAAAATGGTCACGAAACAAAAACACAAACCTTCGTTATTAGTAGGCTCTCTTATTTTAGGTCTCTGCATCGAGACAATGTTTACTACACAAACACATATATTTCTAAATAATGCTTGTAAAAATCGAAAAAATATTCTCCTGTGGGCAAATTTTAATTTTCGGAGTGTCCCGTTAGGAAATATTGATTTCTACTAAATTTATTACCTAAAAAAAAGCTCAAGTTTTGACCTACCTGTACTTTATATAAGTGGTCTTGAGATATTTCTCTTTGACGAGTAAGCATTATAGGTTTGATTTTTCAAACGATAAATCGTAATGAGCCCAAGATCACTTTATTAGTGTATTATCGTTTAGCGTATCTTCAGTCTTAGCGTTAGCGGACGATCCAGCATCTAGAAATCGTATCTGATTATGCTTGCCCAGTAATATTATCTAGACATAACAGGTTTCCGATGTGTCCTAAACTATTCTGTCGAAGGTAGCTGATCAGCTCGTGTGCCCCGCCCCATGTGCTTCAATAGCAAAAAAGGTGTCAGCTAAAATCAAGTGATATCACGAGTATACGTGAAGGCAAAATAGAAAATCACAGTGTGGCTGTTAATTTGTATTTGTATGAGACGAGCCCAATTGAAATGGTAATCCGCTAATTGGAAAAGGTACAACAACAACAGAATCGGAAGGTTTGCCTTAAAGCGTCAAAGAAACGAAGCATTCTCGCGTTGTTTGCTGTTTGTATTACAGAAGACTAGACGCGCACAAAGAGTTGGGCTCCTGCGGGTGCCTATGATCAAATTCTGTTGCTCAATATGTGTGTTGACGGTGTGCCAACGCGAAAGTGGCTATTGTGTAACACATTAGCATGCCGAACCCCATGCCCCGTATCTAAGCTTGCCATATTGGTGTAGTCATCATAGAGAATGCCCAATACTCGACCAACAAATTCTACTATTCATATTCATAATAATAAAAATAAATAATAGAACGAGTTCTACTATTCAAGTACAAGGTGTACTTTAGAAAAACAATACACTTCCACTTCATTCAGCTACTGGCTCGCTATTTAGGTTAGCCATAATATAATGAAGTACATATTTAGATTTGGGTCTGCTAATGAATGATACTAATACTATTGGTAATCAATAACGAGCAGACGAAATGTACCTTGCTCCTTTCATTCGTATATATATATATATATATATATATATATATATATATATATACTTCGTGCAATTGTTTATCTGTATGATTCGTATGCTATTTACTTTTTCAATTGAAATATCGTTCTAATTACGACGAGTGCGTGAAATAGCAGGGCAGTCGGTCGGCAGAAGAATCGGATATTTCCAACCGAAAAGATCCACTTCAATAGAATAGAACTTTTGCTGTTTGTCGTCATGTAAAAAAAAAATCATCAAGTTCTTCTAGATCGGACAACAGCAGTAATAATGAAGGTAATCGCATCACCTAAATCAACACGCACAGGAAGCACGCTGAATCTATCAGTCTGTAGGCTGACACTCTGTACCCTGGATCTGATTGCAAAAATCACATTGGATGTTTTTTTTTTCAAATAATTATTATACTTCATGGTGCCTTTGCTGCAGTTTATCTACTGTAGATTTTTTTTTCTCCGTGATGTAGTCAGCAACAGTTTAATGTTGTCTACGGTTATTAGACGGTTACGGTAGTTAGACGTTTGAATTGATGTTACGTCCTTCCTATGAGTGCTTCGATTTCATTATGGCGTATAATGTTCGGCAAATATTCTATTAAGCCGTCTCGCGTTCTTTTGCAAACTGGGATAATCTGTTCTCCAATCACAATGGAAAGCAAGTTGGCTGGCTGTAAATGTCGATAAAAAAAAAAACAGCCATTGCCTTTGAGAACATGTAAAGCCCCTTTTGGACGGTATCAAGTACATACTAGAGTGAACGCCCGCCATTTCGAGTACCTGTTTTGATTCCAACGGGCCTAACCATAGGGTCACTTAAATTCCGCAATAATGTTCGCTTTATTCAAGTGTTTCACTATCTCGGTCAGCACCGAATAAAAAAAGCCTTACAATAACAGAGACCTAGCATCATGCTGATACTCTAATCATTTAGAAGTAGTTTTGCTACAAATCGGAAAAAACAAGCCCCGTAAGTTAGCATCCTCTATTATTTCACCTGTCAGTTCTATTTATTTTTAGTCAACTTATCTGAAACGCGTACTAGGGAAAAGCAGGCCTATTTAGACAAATGCATGTCATCACTTTTCCAATTGAAGCAGTAGGTCTTACCTATTAGGTATTTTCTTTCCACAAAGGCATTTATTTGTCCTTCAGATTTCAACCTTAAGTGAATGAATACTGGTGCCCCATTGAAGAATTAGCTTCGATCACGCTGTATATTATAATAGCATTTAGAGCAGTCTTTTATCCTCATGCATTTATTTCATAAAAAATAAACAAAACATCGGTTACGTTGCATTCTACTCGATGATACTCACGACGTGCAGCTGATATACATACAATCATGCCCCGCATGTTCCGAGGGATGAGGGATAGCACGTATCATATATATATAGATTCTGGTAAATTTTGGAAATTTTATCGGAATAGTAATACTCTAGGCAACCGATACGAATAAAGAGCACACGCCTAGCATAGCAAAAGCATATTCCCAATTCTGCTCGTATAGGTCAGCCTGGTATTGAGGAACGCTTTCATCGTGAAAGGGCCATAGAGAAGACGATACCGTAGAAAATGATTTTAGCTGGATCGGCTATTTTTAAGTAGTAGTTATCTTGCCACGGTAACAACAACAACAGCTACAGTAACTCAATATACTACTTGGAGCTGTCCATCCATTAGACTTCTACCTGTCCTTACTGCAAAAGCTGAATACCACGCGGAGAGTTCTCCTACGAATACGGTTGAGTGAAAGTATTGGATTATTTGTCGCCCCATTGTATAGTGGCAAACAGCTTTTTACGACGCTCACGGATAGGTCTTTCGGGGCATTGCTTGCCTGCTTATGCATTTTTGCCCTTCAGCCACGAATGGGTCCGCATTCAATCCGGCCAGCAAGCAAGGTATCACATTCGTGTAAGTATTCCTGGCCTTTTTAGCGTCTCGGAACGAAAAAGCGTCTCTCTCCGATTTCCAAAGTAAGCATCCATTGTTATCTCCGCTGTCGGCTAACTACGAAACGGAGAAAATTGACTTTTACAATAGCTTTTTTTTGGCTTAGCTAGATCCACACGCTTAGCTGTCCTATGGACTTTAATTAGTTCAATTTTCAATAATCACGTCAGGCCCCAGTCCAGCCTTTCGAAGGCAAAACTCTGCAGTTTATTTTACTATCAACTACCGAGGTTTTTTTCATTCGCTGGCTATCTATTAACAGCACGCAAAGCTTGTCTTCATAAATGGCCTAAATACGAAAGAGCCCTATAAAAACACTTACTGAGTAGCAAAGCACTACTTTTAAAGAATAGGCAAATTTAGATGTGCTAGGACTTCCTGGGCTACATGCAGCACTAACACGTTGCTTCGTCTTAAGTTACCGAATTTATAGATTATCTCCCGGGCGGCCAATAGAGGAATCAATTAATTTACTCGCTTCCAAGTTAATTTCAAAAACTTCTCAAATTTCAAAAAATCTTCTAAAAATTTCGAAAAATAATTGTTCTAGCTAACATAGGTGTTGTCAGTCTCACCCTCATTCTTTTGGCCTCTCTATAAAAATACTAAGTGAGTTCTGCGGGAGTTCAGAGCCTTACATGTTGAAACTATAAATCTCTATAAAAGTTAACTTCAAAATGCGCCAGATACTGCTTAGATCTTATTTCAGAAGTCAATGAGTGCCTTTGGGGACTTAAATGTACTTCCAAGTTAGGACTCGAGCTAACTTGTTAGGATAGTTTTTGCACGAAGGACCCTCCATTTGGCTTAGGTTATCGATTGATCGGGTTAGTGGTAATAACATTATTATTATGAACTTAATGAAATGAGACGACAGAATGAAGAGAGCTCGACTTCGATCGTATTGCCACGATAGCGTTACTTTGTACTTACTTCGATAGTTACAACAGCTACGAAGTCTATTAATCTGTCGGCTGAATCGTACAATTCCAAGGTGCTAATGTACCCAATAGGGTAATTAGAGGTAAGTGTCACACATTGAAATTCATTAAATAACAGCGCCGGCTGTAACATTGCCCCACTTTTAATCGCCAACACTATTTCCTATAATGGCCCGTGCTGGCACTTTCCGAATTATTGTTATCATTAGCCGAAATTGCCCCTGACACAATAGAGAAACGGGTAATTAGAATCGCATGTAAAAAGTGGCTTTATTCTGTATCTATACATAATTTTACGTGCACTATTGACATATATATATATATACTAAGGTCATTAGTTCGTCGTCCATACAGTCCGACACACTGTATTGAAACCAATGCATTACAGACATAGCAAAAAAATTAGATTTAATATAACGGTAAACTGTATGCCGTGTATAGACAAGTGCTTACATTGGGGCAAAAATCGCCGTTCAGCGGAAACTCGCATCGGATCGATGATTAAGTCGCACAGCTAATAGGCATTAGAGGTGCTTTCCCAGTTTATCGGGCGTTATTTCAACGGTATATCTGCTTTGCTTTTATCCGTAAGCGTATTTTTATATAAGCATAGAGTTGAGTCGTTCTCATTTGCTTAGGTACAAACGCCCGCGCCAAATCTACCAAAACGACTAGCACTTCGTTATGTTCATCAATGGGTCTTTTAAAGAAAAAAAGTTTACAGTTTTTGAAACATAAAAAATAATATGCCTTGTAGGTAGTCGATAATTAAGTTAAGTTCCCACCAATGTCTGAGTGTGTTTTGCGGTACAGTTACTAGGCTAGTTCTTGCTAGTACATAACTAGGTTTCTGTGCCGCGACTCGAATCGACACCACTGAATGTCCCTGAAACATTAGCCAT